AGAGAGAGAGAGAGAGAGAGAGAGAGAGAGAGAGATAGAGATAGATTTGCTTGTACTTGATATTTTCCCTTTGTATTTTTAATGATTGAAATTCTGTTAATATCTCTCCTCCCTTCCCCTAAAGCCTTTAAACCCCAGGGTAGAGAAACCATTTACATCTGATTCTCAAGGATTTTCTTAAAAAGAAAAACGTGTGCACCTCTCAAAGCAGCTTCACCCCTCACTGAAAATGCCTTGCGTCTACAGAGAATCAGCAGAATTTGGAATCAATTTTCTGCTGTGATTCTCTTTGAAAATCCACAAACATCCCCACTGTCCACTGCCCCCTTCATTTCCTTTTGTCACTCTCTCCTGGTTGCGTGCTTGCAAGTGAGTGTGTGTGGCTAACTCACCCCAGCTGGTCTGTCAGGTCCCACAGCACGTTGGGTGTTGGCATTAATGGTGAACCATCGTATAAAACCACTGAGGCTCCCACTGCCAGGGCGGACACCAGCCAGTTCCACATCATCCAGCCAGTCTAACAACAAACACCAATCCAGTCACAACGATAACTTATCTGAAATGAACACTTCTTTGTCGTCAACATGAATAAAAGCAGAATGCAGCAGAAAACTCCTGCACACTGTGATTCACATGATTGCACTTCTCGTTTGACAACATGCTGAGGTACTTCTTTGGCACCATTCTTCATTGGTACTAATCGTGTGAATATTGATTCGACTTCATGAAAAGTGTCTGCAGGGCTACAAAATAGCCTTATACAACACCAACTAGTGGCAATACATTTAGGGAGTCAATTGATTTCTCCGCTGAAAGAAGGCGAATCATCAAGTTTAAGTGAAGCAAATGGCCAAAGTTTCGGTGGAACCGCGGGTCAGACGGAACAAGACAAAACCCGCACTTATGGGAACTTGTGTTTATTTCAAAAGATTAGTTTCATTTGGCAGGTCTAAATATTTAAGATAGATGCTGATTTAAGCAAATGTTGGTCAAACCAAAAAAGTAAGCACGAAACTATCAAAAATCCTACTTATTTGTTGCCAAAAATCAAACATCAGCTTATATAATTTTGCCTAAAATATAACATGGGATTCAAATGTGTGGAATAAAAAATCCTATTGTCATAAAAACTGAAATACAGTCGTCCCTCATTTATCGCAGTGGATCTGCACCCCGAAGACTGCGATATATATATCCTTATATATATATATATATATATATATAAAGGCATTTTAAACTCTTCCCACACTCTTGCAATATTCTAAACAATGTTCCTAAACTCTAAACGCTCTAAAAGAGCACAGAATATCATGATTTCTTTGCCTCAGGTGCACTCAGCCACCTGCAAGCGCTCTCGGCCACGCCCACTTCTCTGCTGCACGGAGAACAGCTGATCAGCTGCAGCAAGAAGTTAATCCTGCAGTGTGAGCTTCACAGAGGTGCAGGAGGAAGGTTTTTTTGCAGCTCTGGGCTGAACAAATGTGCAGCAGGTGCTAAATAATTTAAAATAATTTATTGCAAATAAAAATTTCGTGCTGATCGTGCGGCTCATCCATCAAGCAGCCAGTCGTGTGTCATGTCCAATCTTATTTTGAAAAACCACAATAGAGCGAGTCTGCGATAAACGAACCGTGAGGTAGCGAGGGACTACTGTATTCAACAAATGTGAGGATTTTAAATTAATAAGAAAAACATAATGAACTTTAAGTTCTATTTTTTTATCCAAAAAAGTTCAATCTGGTCCTCTGGACATTCAAAAAAAAAAAAAAAAAAAAAAAAAAAGCAAAAAAAATATAGAAACGTTTCGTCTCTCATCCAAGAGACTTCCTCAGTCTGAGGAGCTGTTTTCAGCTCAGTCTCTTAAATAGCCTTCTCAGAGTGGATCAACCAGTTTGCTGCTGACAACCAAAACCAGCTGATCACATGCTCAAGATCATCTCAAGATGGAAGAAGGACCATCAGCCTAACAACGGATCATTAGCACACTGATGGCTGTTTACTATTCACAGAGGCCTGAGTGAATATCTTACAAAAAGATTTGAAGCTCTCGACCTTGACCTCTCTGTCTTTAAGAATCTGTTGGACACCTGGCAGGGTCCAATGCTGACATGTTCCTGTTGTTAGTTTTCTACATTTGTCTTGGAATCTAGCTGTTCTTTGTTTTGTTACCTTTTCCTTTTAGCCATCCTTTTTGTTATATAAAAAAAAAAAAAAAAAAAAAAAACCTGTAGTATGCTTTTTTTATAACTGTTTATTGTTGTTGCTGTTGTCCATTGTTGTCATCTTTCTTTGTTGAAATCAGGTCTCTCTTGTAAATGAGTCCTCGAGGCTCAATGGGAATTACCTGTATAAATAAAGGTTGATTGATTGATACCAGCAATCACAGCATTGTAAGAGGGGGACAGTTGAACCCGGAGGCCTCCACCCCTGTTTAATGATGGACGATTTCTTTTCACAAAGATGGCCTCCTTTACTCCTCTCTCAAACCATCGTTCCTCTCTATCCAGAGACTGAGCTGAGAACAGCAACTCAGACTGAGGAAGTCTCTTGGATGAGAGACGAAACGTTTCTATATTTTTTTGCTTTGTTTTGTTTTTTGTTTTTTGAATGTCCAGAGGACCAGATTGAACTTTTTTGGATTTTTCTACCTGGATTATTGAGCATGCATCAGGATATTCTATTTTTTATATATATATGAATTCAACATTAAGCAGATTTGGGGCAAATTAACTGTTTCGTTCAAAAGGCAGCAGATGGCTGCACAAAGCACCTCAAAGTTAAGGTTTTCTTAAATAATTGTTTTACACATTAGCTGCAGGGTTTATGGCAAAATCTTGCTCTTGTGATTTTTTTTTTGAGAAGCATTCAAGATTTCTTGAAGGTGTGCTGCATGATTCACCAAGTCTGTAACCCTATTTGTTGAACACTTGATCGTTTCCTGGAGAGGAATAAAAGGCTGCTCTTTATTCTGGCACTCCATTCTGTTTTTAACTTTAACACTCATAAGACTGAAGATTCATTTAGAAGCCACAGGGCTTTGTTCTAAAGTAGGCAACATGCACCAAATTACAGTATGCCCCATTAACCAACAGGAAATGGTGTTCATGTTTCAGAAATATTTTGGAGTGTTTGGGGGATTTTTCTGAATGAGGAGCAGCATGGCTACCTTTACACAGCTCCAAGCTTTGTGGTGACTGCTTCAAGACCAAAGAGGAGCTGAATATCCGACATACCAACATCTAAAACCTACTGAATGTTTAGCTCACAGTTTTCAAGTACCTACAGTTTATAAACAATCATGATATTTTAATAGGCTCTTAAGAACATTACCAAATCAATATAAGTTAAAAAAAATCCTAAAATTGTAGGTGAAAGTAAATTCATAGCTTTGATATGAACTAAAAATACTGGATCTTTGAATGTGTAAATGTTACAATTAAAAAGTTGTGGACCTACCGTAGTGTAGTAAATGATGATGTCACTGGCAGTCATATTACCATGGAGGATGTGCTCTTTTAAGTGCTGGATGAGAGTGCCCTGTAAAGACAAGAGGAAGTAAGTTTCAACAATGTTCATTCAGGTCATCTGGACGTTTTTTTTTTGTTTTTTTTTTGCTGAGACTTTTCGCCCCTCATCCAAAGGACTTCTTCAGTCCGAGGAGCCACAAACAAACTGGAGTCCCACAAGCACCACACTCCCATAGTGGGGGAAAAAACAGTTTGCTGGTGATAAGATGGTTTCTGGGGCCCGCTCTCTGCCCCGTCAATTCCTCTAAGGCAGCCATGCCAAAATGGTTCAAAACACCAAAGTTCATGCTCAATAATCCAGGTACAAATCCAGCAATGTTCAGTCAGATCATCTGGATGGTTTCTTTTTTATTTGCCGAGACGTTTCGTCCTTCATCCAAAGGACTTCATCAGTCCAAGGAGCCACCAACAAACTGCAGTCCCACAAGCACCACATTCCCATAGTGGAAAAAACGTCTCAGCAAAAAAAATATATATAAAGAAGCCGTCCAGACGACCTGACTGAACATTGTTGGATTTGTACCTGGATTACTGAGCATGAACTTTGGTGTTAAGCAAGCAAGTTTGTTGGAATGCACCATTGGTAATCAGGGCTTTAACATGTAGACTGATGGTTTTTCAACATGTAGTCATCTAACAGCAGCTGTCAGCAGTTTGTCATTTATATTGACAGAAAATGTCGTTTCTACATGATAAATACTACATTTTTACCGCTTATCTAAATATTACTCTCTTCAAATCAGTGTTTGCACGTAAAATGCTTGCAGACAAGTCTCGCTCAGACTCTGCTTTGTTTCAGAAAACGTGTGGTTTATGGGAAGTGCAAAGTTTCCAACCCATCACAGCTGGTGAGGTCATTATAGCTGAAGAAGAGTATAAACTGTGGAGAGAGTGTGAGTGGGTTTAAGGTCTGAGCTCATGTGTACTTTCTTTCTCACAATGGCTTCACCTGTGTATGTATGTGTGTGTATGTATGTGTGTAGATGTGCATCTTAACTCTGGCAAAGACTCAGCTGCCATACTTGCATTTTGGTGTGCGCCATTTTACTACTGACAGCATGTTAACAGAGCCGTAACAAAGCTGAAAGCAGAACAGGACCAGGGCTAATTGGCCGAGGCAGCGAGGACGGCCACCGTCACAATACGAAATGTTTTTCGGCAGCGCATTACAGTCCAATTATCGGCCGCATGGAAAGAGAGAGGAAGCACAAAAGAAAGAGATGGCAGACGAGGACAAAGTCAGAGACAATAGGAGAGGGGAAAATGAGCCAGAGAGAAAAAAGGTAAAGTGTGTGGGTGTAGAGAAAGAGAACTGAGTGAGGAAAAACATAAAAAGTACACAGAGCTAAGGTAGAAAACTAATCACAAATATGGGCTGGCATAACAAAAGTAAAGCCAGAAACAAGGAAACAGAAGAACAGCTTTTAAAACACACAAATTCTTGCATTTTAGTGATTAAAATTAATTTGAATATTAATTGTTTTTCTAAGTGTAATAATCCTTTTAAAAATCACACTTTTTTTTTTTTTTTGACACCACCTCCTACAGATGAGATGTGTAGCAGGAAAATGTCATTTCAACTTAACAAAGACCAATTGTGATCTCAGCAGGTGGAGGTCTGCTGCCATCTTGTGGTAGTAATGAGTGTAACACAAAGGTGACTAATGAAGAACATTTCAATCAGCTGTAACCAAAAACTAAATATCAGGAAGCCAAAATTCATACAAATAAAAGAATGGGGAGTGGAAAGCACTAAACAACTTAAAGGAAATTAAGCCATGACAATTAAATAAACGATATTTGATATAACAAATGCAGCAAAATGTGACGACAGCAGACAAAAACTTGGAAAATGTGTAGATGAAATGCAGCTTTCTGGGTCCAGATCTCTGAGAAGAGGATATACAATCATCCAAAGGACTTCATCAGTCTGAGGAGACACGACAAACTCTGTCCCACTCTGGATCCCTAATAATGGCATGCAGAACGATTAACAAATTTCTACCGAAAAAAAAATAAAGAAGATGCTGGAAAAAACTGCTTTCCTTCAAAACAATCTCCTGTTACTGGTCCACCATGCCAGTCTGAACAGGCCCATCCAACCATTAAATATCAGCTCGGCTTAAACTCAAAGTCTGACAAAACATCTAACAGGACACTAAATAAGAATTTACTCTTTACAACAGAATGAGTCAGAAAAAAGAAAAGTCAACATTTTTCAGAAAATATGAAACTCTAGAACACAAAAAAAAAAAAATCAAACAACTTTTCTACTTTATGGCAAATGGGCAAATAAAGTATACTAACTGAATTTAAAACTTGTTTCTGCATCTAATAGATGAACACAGAAATGAGCCACCGTGCACAGCTGCACAGCTGTTTTGCTAACCGTCCTGTGTCCATCAGAGACACTGTCATCACTGGCTGTAGGTTTTCTTGCAGGGCAAGGCTGACCTTTGGGAAAATGCAATGCTGGATTATGCTGTGCACCCTGCTGAGAGTAGAGAGTCACTTTAGTTAAATGTTCAGCCATATTTATTTTAATTAGCGTTAACAGACAGGGAATCAATTAAACAGAAAATGAGATCTGGGAGAAAGACGAAGAGAGAAAACAGTAAATTCTGAAAAAGTTCTTATGATCTCTAAGTCAGTGCTCTGATACGGACAAAGGTCGAAACATTTGTCCACAGACAGTTAAACCCGTTAATGTCACACTTAAAAGATTCCCCCGTGTAAATGAGAAGAATCCCAGCAGTGGAACAACAACTAATTTAGCTGACTACTGTAATTTAAATCTGTTCCAACAAAAGTTAAGTCAGGTCATCTGGACAGTTTTCGTTTTCTTTGTTGAGACATTTCGTCCTTCATTCAAAGGACTTCATCAGTCTGAGGAGACACAACAAACTCTGTCCCACAAGCAGCACACTCCCATAGTGGGTCAACCAGTTTGATGGTGATAAGATGGTTTCTGGGACCCGCCCTCTCCCCCGTCAACTTCTCTGAGGCAGCCATAACCAAAATGGTCAAAACATCAAAGTTTATGCTCAATAATCCAGGCAAAAAAAATCCAACAAAGTTAAGTCAGGTCGTCTGGATGGTTTTCTTTTTTGTTGTTGTTGTTGAAACATTTCGTCTTTCATCCAAAGGACTTCATCAGTCCGAGGAGCAACAACAAACTCAGTCCCACAAGCAGCCCACCCACATAAAAAAGAAACCATCCAGAAGACCTGACTTAACTTTGTTGGATTTGTACCTGGATTATTGAGCATGAACTTTCATGTTTTGAACCGCATGGCTGCCTCAGAGGAGTTGATGGGGGAGAGGGTGGGTTCCAGAAACCATCTTATCACCATCAAACTGGTTTGTCCACTATGCGAGTGTGCTGCTTGTGGGACAGAGTTTGTTGTGGCTCCTCGGACTGATGAAGTCCTTTGGATGAAGGACGAAACGTCTCAAAAATAAACCATCCAGAGGACCTGACTTAACTTTGTAGGGTAATTTAAATCTGGTTTGTTACTATCTGCTTTGGGAGAGGAAAATGCTAAGAAAGCAATGCACATTTCTGTGTTACCTTCAGTCAGCGTTTGTTCATTTGTGGCAGAAAGCAGTTATTTTACTGATGTGGAATTGACTGAAGACTTTTTATGCAGTTTTGGTTTTCTTGCACAAATCTGCCCCAGACTTTAGTGCCTGTTAAACATTTAACTCAAACTTCTCCCCCCAAAACAACGAAAACAAGCGACAAAAAAAGGACTAACTGATGTGAACAGATGGGTTGACCCAGGAGAGCTGAGTCGCAGATGTAACCATTCCGTGCTGATTTTGTATCTGGAAACAGCTGCGTCTAAACTGTGTAGAGCATTCAAAAACACTGGCTGCAACGCAGCGATTATGTAAGAAGTTACACAGGGACAGAAAAGAACACAGGTTGGGCGTTTAGTGAGTCAGATTGTGTGATGAAACAACTCGTTGTTGGTTTTAGTGCATTAAATGTTTGTGCCAGCTCAATAACAGGAGAAATGAATAGTCTTTACATTTAGTGGTGATGGAAACCATAGAGGTTCTTACCCCAGAAGAGTGGACCATGCATTTAGGAGCTCCTGTAGTTCCCGAAGAGTACATGATGTACAGAGGATGATTGAACGGAAGCTGCTCAAACTCCAGTTGAGGAAACTGATCAGCCTCTCCACGTCCAGATGCCAAGAAATCATCCATGAACACACTGTGGAGATGAAAAAGACAAGACACTCACTCAAAAACACTCAAACTAGCAACAGTTTACTCATATCAACTGCTGCTCCTCTTCCATAACCCCTCTATCCCAGGGTGTTCCCCAAGGTTCAGTGCTTGGTCCTCTCCTTTTCATCCTCTACATCCTCCCCCTTGATAATATCCGTCGTCATGGCCTCCATTTCCACTGCTACACTGATGACATACAGATTTACATTTCTACTACATCCATAAACCCCAGTATCCACTCCACCCTTACCCATTGCTTAACTGACATCAAAATCTAGATGAAGCATATTTTTTCAGATTAAACACTAATAAAACTGATATATTCTTCAATGGTCCAAACAGTGTTGCCAAGTCCACTCAAAACTTCTGCCTCAACGTTGACATCACTCTCACTCCATTCCCACTCATTTGTAATTTTGGTATTCTTCTTGACTCCACTCTTTCATTCGAATCGCACGTCATACAGATAACTCGGACTGCATTCTTCCATCTCAAAAACAGCACGACTCCGCCCATCACTCACTTTCTCCACTGCTGAAATCCTAATCAGAATCAACTACTGCAATAGCATTTTGAATGGTACACCATTCAAAACTCTCAGCAAACTGCAATACTGTATGTAGTCCCTTGTTTATTGCAGGGGATGAACCTGAAGACCCACGATAAGTGAAAAACCGCGATGTAGGAATAGTAGCACAAGTAGTAAGTAGTAGGCGTTTTAAAATCTTCCCACACTTTTGCAATATTCTAAACAATGTTTCTAAACTCTAAAGCTCTAAAAGAGCGCAGAATGTCATGATTTCAGCTCCCTGCCTCGTCTGCTCTTTGCCACCTGCAAGAGCTCTTGGCCACGCCCACTTCTCCGTTCTGCACGGTGAACAGCTGATCAGCTGCAGCAGCAAGTTTATCCTGCAGTGTGGGCTGCACAAAGGTGCAGGAGGTGCTAAATAATTTAAAATAATTAATTTTAAATAACAATTCCATGCCGATCGTATGGCTCATCCATCAATCAGCTAATTGTGTGTCAGGTCCAATCTTATTTTGAAAAACCGCAATAGAGCGAGTCCGTGATAAATGAACTGCAAAGTAGCGAGGGACTACTGTATATTCAAAACTCTGCTGCCCGCCTTCTCACCCACACCTGTTCCCATGAACATATCACTCCTGTCCTGCAGAACCTCCACTGGCTCCCTGTCACTCAGCGAATCTATTTCAAGATCCTCTTCATCATATTCAAAGCCCTCCATAATCTGGGCCCTCCATACCTGACCGACCTACTCCATTACCACACTCCTTCTCGTTCCCTCCTCTCCTCCATTGCCAACCTTCTGTCTCTCCCCTGTAGGACCAAGCTCTGAGCCTGGGCCTTTTAAGTGATTTTATGTGTTGTGTTGCATTGTTAATTTTATATTTTTGAACTCCTGTAAAGCGTTTTTGAATACTTAGAAAAGCACTATACAAATAGAATGTATTATTATTATTATTATTAAGAGGAAAAACAATTACAATAGTACAAAAGGAAGCCAAAATACCTCTGTATATCTGTCATAAATGTTGTAATTTAACCACTTGAGTGCAACTTGTCAGAGACACAAACCTGTTGGGAATCTTGGAGAGGTCAGTCTCATTTTTAGAGAGAACGTAGGGAATCACGACGACTTTATTCAAGTCAGGAAGACCTACGAGTGGGAGAGGGAAACAGAGGCTGGCTTATTTGTGTTCTCTTCAAGCTAATCTTTAACAGAAGAACTCAAAATTAAAACAAAAAAAAAAAAAAAAAGGATTTTCCTGAGTAACTGACATGTCACTCTATTTGTGCAATATCAGTTTTATCAATAGAGCGCATTTAAAAACAACACTTACAAAAGTGCTTTACAAGCTGCCAAAAAGGAAAAACTAGCTAAATAAATTCTGAAATTCACACATAAACCCAACAGGTACAATAAAATAGACTAAAAACAAACAAACACAAGGAAACACCACAACATTAACAAAATCTGATGGAACCCAAACTGAACTTAAAGGAAACTTTTATGTCATTTTTTGTAATTCTGTGAATCTTCCCGGGAACACAATAGTGTGAAAACTGAATCAGAATTTTTTTTTCAAGAACACTGTTGTTTTTAAACCTGCTTTAGCAAACTTTGACTACACTTGGCTCTTAGCTATTGTTTGCCACTTTCATCTTGTAGATAGTTTTTACTGCTTTTAGCTGCTATATTTAATTACTGCCTTGATCTTATTGTTAAGCTCTTTGGTAACAGCTGCTATTTTAAATGTGCTTTATAAATAAATTTGACTTGACTTGCTATTAGCTTTAGCCATCTTGTGTTACTTTTAGTTTCTAACTAGCATTTTGCTACTTTTAGCTAGCATTTAGCTACTTTTAGTAACCATCAGTTACACAAATCTTTGTATTCCGGCTGTGATGGCAGGTTTGTTACAAATCAAACGAGAAAACAAATGTGACAATCAAAAGAATACATTTTAAAAATTGCAGAAACGTCTGAAATGTGTTCACCAACCTTTTACAACATTGATCAGCTTTTCCATGTGGTCATGGATTTTGCCGTTGTATACCACAGCAGCAACTGAGAAGATCAGTTTGGGCTGGATCTGAGAAAATCTGTCAAGGACGCCCTAAGTTAAATTAAAAAAGGGAAAAAGAAAACTGAGTAAGAAGAATCAAGTTGTGTAACATAACACTCAAGTCTGCACAAAGACTCAGTGACTGTGAAAACAAATACTGTAAGGGAGATTTGTAAGATAAACTTAAGAAAACGTGTTTGGCTTTAAAAAAAAAAAAAGCAATATTCATTATAAGCAAGAGAGTGATGCGCACTAAAAGCACATAAATAAATCAACCTCCATCAAGATGGTAAAAGTAATACTCAAATCGGCCAGAGGGGGCAGCAACACATCAGAAATACAAATTACAAACCAACGTGACAAGTCTGATGAAGTCATTTGTCTTTTTCATCTTTAATGTCAAATTAGTGTGGCTTCGTGACAAACTTAAAAAGCAAAATGTCACTAAGACGCTTGTAAATAAACATTGCACTTTATAAGGAATACAGAAAAATGTGATAAATTAAAAATCTAAACCTTAGTTTGTGAACAACCGCTGAGACGAAGTTATAATTACGAACATAAATGAACTGAAACAAAACGTTAAATAAAGCATATGAGAATCAATTTGCCAAATTCTTACATTAACTCCGAAGTCGACAGATGTGGAGCTCCAAATGGCCCCAATGCTGGCGGCTGCCAACATGGCCTCCACTGCATGAATACCATTGGGCAGGTAGCCTGAAGAGGGGGAACGGGAAAAAACACAAAAGATATACAGAAAAAATAAGGGTTGTTATTTAAAATAGCAGTTTTACTACAAGATTACTTCTTATATATAAAACTTTTTATTCCAAAATCTAGCATATGAAACATTTCTAGCATATAAATTTCACAAACAGTAAGATTAGGTTATTTTATAAAACCAACAAATGTAAGTAAGGTTTTATAGTATAGACATAGAGATGTCAATTTTAACCTACCAAGATACAAAAAATATGGACATTTGTCCTCCTTTTAGATAAGCATGCAAACTCGTTGTGAGATACTGTTTTACAACAGCAGTCACGGTAAAGTTAATATTTTTCAAAAACAGTTACTCAAAGCTGATTCTCAGACTACACGTTGTGTGAGGAAATATAATGTCAAGAGTTAGGATGAATAAATGTCTGAATGGACAAAATAAAATAAAAATAGACAGTAATTTTAAGTCAAACTCAGTGCAACAGTAAAATAAAATTAAAAACTAGCAAAGTGAAAAAATAGTGAAGTTAAGGAAATAATTTTTTTTTTTTATTATAAGGATTCCAAGACTGACAAAGACTGCGTCCAATATCTTTTATCATCATGGACACAGAAATTATAGAAAAGAAACATTTATGATGCCAATAGTAGTTTGGAAATAAAAAAAAAAGACTAAAAACTGTGATGCTCATTAAAAAAAAAAAATGCCATAAACGAATTGTGGCCTGTCGGTATAACAAAAACTATTCATGAGTGACTACAAATAATAAAGTTTTATAATGTAAATGTCATTATGTCTCTGTTATGTTAAACGTTTTTACAAGTGTTGTGAATGCAGATACTCTCTTGCTTTCACATCTGATTAGAAGTTGTATTTTCCTGGAACAGAGTCAACACTTTACGATGTCATGTAAAAATATATAAAATACGCACTTCCTAGACTTAACATGGAAGCTCTCATGCACAAAAGGGCGGTCTCACTGATAACCTGTACCTGATCTAATAAAACAATAACATAACCAGTAGTTACAACCCAGCAATCTGACTGGTCAAAGTCAAATAGCAGATGTGCTGCTGAGTCCAATGAATCACGATGATTCAGCCTCGTCTGGTTCCACTGCTGGCCTGATGTAACCAGGAAGCTCATCACGGCAGTAGTTCACGTTAGGGTGACACATCACCTCCCTGCTACACTGGATCTACAAGCTCACCCTCTTGCACCAAGACCAAAAAAAATTTAATCATAAATCACAATCTTTCCACACCTTGCACGTCACCTAAACACTTCTTCAACCATTAAAACTGCACTGAACTCTGGAAGAGCTAAAATGTTAATGAGAACTTTAGCGTGGCGGTCATAGTATTAATAAAAGATGTGTCTTTTGTGTTGTGAAATCAAATGTTTATTTCAGGGATATTACAAAATCAAAGCAATAAAGAAAAGGTTTGGACATAAATAGATTTTTTTAAATTTAGGCTCCTGGTCTGTGATTGAATGAAAAAGTTTACAGACAAAAGAAAAAGGTTTGTGGATGTCAGCTGAAAATGTCAGTCATAGGAATCCTTTTGGTACAACTGACACTGATCAGCTGGTTTTATTCAACCAATTCTCCACATTTGTTATATCTGAATGTGAATAACTAAGATTTCATAATTTACTCTGATATTTAAGGAAAAAAAAAAATATATATATATATATATATATATATAATGAATATAAAAAGAAAAGAAAAACGGAATCCTTTCGAGATAAAAGAAGTGGTTCCAGAGATGTGGGTTTTCAAATAGTGACCAATGACGTTAGAGATGAAAATTCCAAGGACAAAAGCAGTGTGTGTGTGTGTGTGTGTGTGCGTGTGTGTGTTTCCTGTTATGCTGAAAAACATGGCTGACTTCATCAGCTAAGTGCTTATATATCTTCTAGATTAGAAATATTGACAAGACATTTTATTTGCAATCTGGGGAGAAGGACATCTCTGCCTCCAACACTAACACACACACACACACACACACACACACACACAGAGATGTAAGGAAAGTAATAGGAATGGGTGTGGACGAAGGCATTAAGCACCCTGTCTCTCCCCAGTCCTACTCATTTCTACAGCTCCCCTCTGCCTCCCAACGCTCTTCCCATTTTGTCTAATGAGACTCCCACGGAGCTCAAGTCGTTTAGCTAATGGATTGCCCTCCAACAATATCCGTCTTTCCTCCGAGCACACAGACGCGCACACTGTGGTCATCCCTAACGGAGTAGTGTTGTAACCATGCAGCCACAGATGTTTGGAACATCCCGGCCTGCTTCAAAATTCAAACAAAAGGAACATGAGAGACAACGTGCACACCTTGAGCTTTGGAAATGTGCCATGTTTCTTTAGAATAAGGTCAAACCGCAGAGCAGAGTTTCACATGAAGCCACCCAATACATACTAAACTTCTTCTGGGTTAGAGAGATGAGACGGGATACCTAAACTTAAAATTTCAAGGTAAGAGCCTTTTCCAATAGAAAGTTATTAGAAAGTATAATTTTTTATGCATGCTGAATGAAACAATCATTTCAATGATCCTCACATTTTATCTAATCATGTATATCTGTTATTTCTGTTTATAAAATGAATTGAAGCTTTCTGTAGGTACACCTTATTTACACAGACATGAAAGTTTTGATTAAACTAATTTAACTTTACCCTTTTTTTTCTTCTACAGTTAAACATGCTGGTACAAATTCCTGCACGGCAAACTGTGCAGGACTCATTGTGTAAGACACTGTGTTAACCTCCACCGTTGCTGAACACTTGTGTAGTATGACAATATATGAGATATATATGCATACAATATTCACGAGTTCCTCATCTTTCTGACTGTGTAATGTCGTGCATTGAATTTAACAGAAATGTAACGAGAGACGTTATTTATCTTTGACCCATCAAAGTGAATGCGGCCATTTATTTTCAGAATCAAAGTTTAACATCAAACATTTACATTAATTTGGCAAAATATGAAAATAATAACAGACAAGTTTCACAGAAAAGGGACATCGATCACTCGGCGGTGAACGAGGACTTTGCTTCAGATATTTCTAAAATATCTGTACTGATTTTATGAGAAAGAGGAGAGTTTTAAGATGAAATGGAGTTATCTTACAGAGAGATATGTGAGGGAATTAATCTGTTTGACCAGAACGTGCACGCTTCATCAGATCTCAGCTTGCCTCCGGTACACTTTAATCGAAGAGGAGACTGTTACCTGGTTGACGTAGGTCAGCTCGATAGAGAATCCTCCAGACTTTTTCAGCGTCTCCGTTGAGAGCAGCTGAAATCCTTAGATAGTCGTGTGTGGTTTGTTTAAACAGAAGTTATAATCCCAAATCGTCTCTGGATCATCCTGAACGCGTTTGCACCCAAGAACTCTGAACTCCTTTCATTCTTCAGAACTTCTCAGACTCTAACAGAATCTTTCAACTCCAGCAACTCTGTAGTTCTTCATCTCCTCAGGCTCTCCAGCTTCTGGAATTCTCTGGAATTCTCCTGAATTCTCCTGAATTCTAACATGAACTGGGAAGTTGCCACATTTTAAATGGGTTGACTTCCGGGTTCACTTGAGAGCTTTCTGATTCGTGGATGGACCGGAAAGAGGTGTGTTTTTGTGACGTAAGATGTTATCTAAGCCAAGGTCAGAGAATGAGATTGTTCAACAACTGACAGAGAGATTATTGCAGAAAAGCAGACTTCGTGGAGTCAACTCTTCTGTATCTTCTGTGGTGATTAAACATGACATTTTCTTCTCAGTAAACATTTTAGTTGACCAAGACTCGACCTTTCACATACTTACACAACTTGGCTCATTTCAGACAGAAAATCAAGAAATGCATATTAACCTGATTTCTTCTTTGAATGAGGAATAAAAATCATTACTTACTGTTTATGTAAAATAAAAATGAGTAGTTCTTTTCAACCTGTAACATTGAGTGAACTAACACCATTTGATTATCAAACATTTGTAAACAGTGATGATCATAGAGAATTGTCTTTTCTGCTTGATTAATTCAAGAAAGAAAGTCATCAGATGGCTCAGACTGTATTCAGATCAATGAAATAACAGTCCCTGTCCATCTGATAGATTTGAGGTCATCAGGGTCAGATCAGGGTCAGATCAGGTTCACTACACTTGTTTAAAAAATTAAACCTGGAGAATTAAAACCAAAATCTATTTAAAGCATGAGTCGGCCTATCTTTGTGTGACAGGTATGAGTGTAAAACTAAACCAATTTGTTTATGTAAAACAAAAAATGGAAGTGCAACTGGGTACAGAAAAGTATGGGAGTAATTTGGATGAATTCATATTCACATTAACATTTTGTATCAAACTGAGACAAGACTGACACAACGAACTCAGAGTGGGTAGGGTCTTAAAACTGGTTTGCTTTTTTCCCCACATGGAAGTGTTGAAATTTCAATGTCGCCAGACATAAAGTTTGATTTAATCAGGAAGCTGAACATAATGTTCCAGATGTCTTACATGCCTTCTTTGTTGTTGTCAACCATTTATGCAAAAAACAAAAAGTTTGCATGTAAAGTTGGAAGTCTAGCACATTGCTTTTGAACATTTTGTTTAAAATTCTCCACATTCTGTACTTGATATATGTATGCCCTTATTCTGCAGATGTGACTTTACAATGTGTGTAGACTATGGTCTGTATGAGCTAAAGCCAAAAAAATAATTAACAAATGTTTCTGGAAAGGATGCATTCTTAATAAGTTGCCCTAAAATCACAATGTTGTTGTTTTTTACCACCACAAAAGTGTAAATCACTCTGCTAAGGAGATTCATATAACCTCAAACTATCACTTGTTTCCAACTGTTGCTAATTCCAGTCTGGATGCTCCTTTTCATCTTTAACACAGAGCAAAAGGCATCCATTTATATCAGAAAACATCTGACATACATAATTTATCTGACCATAAAACATGTTTTATATGAATCTTCAATGCTTCTGTCACTGAACTGCTTCTGAACAAAACCTTTTGAAGACAGATGTTATACTTTAAAGTGGTTATATCAGCTATTGATCCATGACAGTTCTTGATGCCGTGCTATCAGAATGAGTGAAAATCACAAACGTTCAGCCTATCTTGCATCACCTTTTAACGTCACAGCTTAGAAATAATAGCATTTTTTTTATTTCATTACCAGTCTAAAATAGTCTCCATTCCATGTCCTGATGCATGCTCAATAATCCAGGTAGACAAATCTAATAAGGTTGAGTCAGGTCCTCTGAATGGATTCTTCTCCAGTCTGAACAGACTGAAGAAGTCCTTTGGATAAAAGATGAAACATTTCAACAAAAAATAATTCATCCAGAGGACCTGACTCAACCTTATTAGATGTCTCCATTACAACTTCATGTCTGTATTGCACACCTAAACAGTAATAATTTATGTTTAAAAATATTCTAAATAAAGCAAATTGTGCAAAAGTTTGTGTTTTTTTTTAAACCACTCCAACTTTTGGAGATTTTTTTTTTCGGTTGTATCCGACATCCCTTAAATACGAAGTTCTTTCACTGGTACAGCAAAGCGGCATGTTGAACAAATATGAATATGTAGATCTGTATGAATGTGCTGCACAGTCATGCACTGAAGGAAAAAAAAATGCATCCTCAAGTGATTCCTCCCTCCTTACACAAATACACACTTTGACTAAAAAATGAGGGCATTCAGAAAGAGCTGCAGCTTGTGCCAGTTTGTGCCACCACTCCATACCTGTAAACCCACACACACACACACACACACACACACACCGAGCTGTAGAAGCCAACATTTACTAGGCCTGTCACGATAACAAATTTTGCTAGGCGATTAACTGTCTCTGAAATTATTGCGATAAACGATAATTTTGTTTGAAATTGGACAATAATTTGTAATAATTGTAAAATTTAAGCAGAAATGTTGGTTAATTTTTGTGTGTAGTACCTTTTTTAACCACTGGACGGCAGTATAAGACCATTTGAACCGAAGCAGCGTGACTAAGAATGGGAGGGAGACCTGACGTGACTTGGGCTGTCTCTCGTTCCCGTTTTTCGGTTCTCAAAATGGCGGACGATTGGTGTGGTTTGAGCTCTTTAGCATAGCATTTGTCACTCAAAGCTTTTAATTTAAAAAAAAATCAGTAAACAAGTTCTCAGCTTCTTTTTGCAGAGAAAAACAACTTTACACGAAGGCACGGGTTTCAACCGTGAATTTTGAAGCTTCGACAAAACTGCGGGTTTTTCCCGAGGTCGGCCTGTTAGCCTAGCTCGTAGCTTAGCTTCTCAGCTTAGCTGCTTTTAACGATCCAAAAATTTTGGACGGTTAAAATAGATTTTAAAGAGAAAAGAGAAAGGAAGGGGTCAGTGCAGGGCACTGAAGTTGAGCCTTTTGTCATTCAGTGTCTTCAGCAGAAAGAGAGAGACATGGAGAAACGATAAAGGCGATAAATGAAAATGAGGTCGATAGTTTTCACTTATCATGCGATTAATTGATTTATTGTTTATTGCGTCAGGCCTAACACTTACTGCAACAAGTTAAAAATAGAAGACATTTAAACAGTGAGGGCGTCAAGGAAAATGCAAGAAGAGATGGACAAATATATACACTTTATTTATGAATATCTACCATTTAACCAACAAAGAACAATTCACTTGGCTAGGATGTTATTGTCTTGTTTAAGTTCTATTTACAAAAGAAAGCAATAAAAACTCAAACTCACCTACAACTCTGTCTCCAGTCTGGATGCCCATCTTCCTCATGGCTGCAGCAAACAACGCCACATCACGCCTCAGTTCTCCAAATGTTACCTTCACAATCTCCTCCTTCCCTTCCCCTGGTACACAGAAAAAAAGCTGAATTAGAAACACAAACATGGAAACAGACAAGTGTATACGGGATTTTTTATTTTTTTTTTTTTTTTTTTTTACTGCAAAGCACAATTTGATTGGAATTGACTGTTTTTGTACTTTGCATGACAAAAATTTACTGTACCACTAAAGCTCAGATATTAAAGTGATATAAGATAAGAAAGACAAGCAAGAAAAGAAAGAAGATAAAAACACAATGACAACCAAGAGTTGATCCAGTAAGAACAGAGCCGCAGGGCAACAGCCCACTGACATTCACAGAGGCTCCACAGCCGTAGATCGTCTCATAATTGTGTTAGCGCTCCTGAGGAGGCTGTGTGTGTACAAAAGCATGCTCTCCACGATACAAACACACACAATCAAGAAGGACGGACCTATTCATTAGTGTGTAACACTAAGAGGTAAAGAAGGGAGCAGCAGCAGATCTAATAACATGAATGCATGACGCACACTATCAGAACGACTGAGATTTTCCAGTACGTCTTTAACTCTTTTTATCAATATTTTTCTGTAAATATCTGTAAATATCATTAGCACTATACACTGTGTGAAATAACCTTACGTGCAGCGTAGAGAGCCACCTTGTCCTGGTCGGTGTGTTTCAGCAGGTTCTCAGCGTAGTTGAGTCGAGCTCCTTTAAACCACTCTGGAACATCTGAGATCCGCTTGGACGCATCCACCACCTGGTGTGCATGAACGCAAAAACCCAACAGAGCGAACCATCAAAACCGGCTCCGTCATGTACAATTAGAAAATAAACAGAAGAACATAAACGTTCCCATCAAGCTCCCCTGGCTACTATTTTCCTGCATTTATTATTTATAACAGATCGTGTTGTTTGACTATCCAAACCAATGACCTGTGAGGAAAAGTTCATCCCACAGCGCACCACTGTTCCCAAATGTTTGACTGTCTGGTTAAATGTGTCCTGGTAACGTCTCCTTGGACAAATATTAGGAAGGAGTATGCGAGTGAGAGCATGGGGTCAGCAAACGAAGTAGAATAAGACATTAATGTGTACAAAGCAGGTGTGGCAACAGGGTGACAGAATCAGACATCATTTACTGCCTTAGGCAGGATGCTGTATCCTGGAATTAAGCAAAAAGAAATGAATATACCGCAATATAAAAAATACAAGATGCAACTTTGACTTCGCCAAATATGCAAGCAACATATATTTTGTAATCTGTAATTATTTTGTAATTAAATTTTTGTAATAACAATCACTTCAAAGTTAAAACTACTTTTCAAGTCTGTACTTTTCTCTGCCAGACACATAAAAATATATCTTTGTCTCCCTTTCCATATACTGCGTATATGTTAGTTACTTTTTGCTTGTTTTTTTTACAGTAAGTTGTACTCACCTCCTCATATGGTTTGGAGCCGACTACTCCACAGAAACGCCACACTTCTGTCCAGAACTCTGGGTAATTGTCCACCGACCACTGGTAAAGGTCACTGTAGTTAACTAGAAAACAAAGAATCAGTCACAACAAGAGAGCAAAGTTTACACTAAACCACTGACAGTACAAATAAAGTCAACTACTTGCTTTTAGGAGCCTGTCACAATCCACAGATAACCTCCGAACAAACAAAGAGCCAAAGAGAACCTTCTTCGTTCTGCAATCATTTCCACTCATTGTCTAATTTAAAACCAAAGTTAATCTCGTATCCCATCAATGGGACAGTGGGTACTGTTCTAAACTACCAACCTCGATATAATGACCACTAGCAGGTGACGTGGGGACAAACATTCTCCTGTTACAGTGGAACTTGGCAGTAGGTGGGATGCATAAGCAAACTTCAGAGTATTGTGGCCTAAAAGTTATTGAGTTAAAAGCAGAAACATCTGGCAAACTTCAAGATTTGAGCACGTTTCAGAATGACCAAAATTGAATGCTTATTCATAATATCTGTACAAATGTACAAGTAGGTCCTGTGTGGGGTTTTCAGTCGCCACTGGTCATGAACAACCAGAAGTGGTCCAAAAGGCAGGCTAAGTGCCCCAGCGACAATGTCCTGGGCAGTCAAGCCTCAACGGCACACATGGGGAAAACTTAACCTATTGTTTCCAACAGAGACAAGTCAAGGTGTCCATGATGACCAGTGTCCACTGCTGGAGATCAATGGGCACATGAACATCAAAAGACAAACGACAGAGCAAGGAAAGAAAGCACAATAGACTGAAGAATTACATCAGATGGACGCCAGAGTCTTTGTGCAACTCTTACTCAGAGAAGACGTGGCACCAAGATGTACCTAGAGAGAAGGCAATCCTGCAGTGACAGTGTCGTGCTTTGAGGAATGTTGTGCTCAAAAACCTTGGGTCTCTTCAATCATGTGAATGTAACTTTGACACATTCCTACCTAAACGCAGGTGTCAACAATAAAGATAAGATAAGCGCTATGAGTTGTCATCATTGTATGTTCCCATACAATGGCGAAAATGGTTCTCTGCATTTAACCCATCGCACCTGGGATACACCCAGGTGGAGCAGTGGGCAGCTATGTAGGTGCCCGTGGAGCAATTAGAGATTGGGTGTCTTGCTAAGGGACACCACGACACATAGGGGGATGGGGGGCTGGGGATCGAGTCTGGGACTTATGGGTCCTGAGTCGGCTGCCCTGCCTCTACCTCATCTCGGCCCCCCCATTAAACCCTACATGCAAATGATATTCCCTAATATCAGTGGAGTTTTTCTACTGGATAATGTTCATGGGGAAAAGATTCAAGAAAGTGCATCCTTACAACTGGATGCACTTTTGATGACATAGCACTAAACATCGAAACAGAACTTTACCAGTCAGTCGACTGCATGGTTCATAAGTAAATCAGGCTGTTTTGGTGATCAATACTATTGAACTAATTCAGCCGGTCCAAAACTGTTAAGTGCTGGCATCTGGATCTACATCAAATGATAACAGGAAGGACAAGCAGAGGTTAGAATGACCTAAACAAGAACCCCCCCCGCGACAATAATTTTGGGAACCATTGCACTATTCAGCTTGTATGCATTTTTTTTTTTTTTTTTTTACAATCAATGAGGATTTCCATACAATAAAATGAAATTAGGGGTTCTCACAAGTTTATATATATTCTTAATTAATCATCCTGTTCTCCTTAACATCTTAGATTCTGATAACATTGAAGGAATTTGGATTAATACCAGTTTGGAAAACACTACAAGTGTTATACCTGATTGTAGACAATTTTAGACCTAATGACATGTGTCTGTTCTGCTTAATTTTCTCCAGCTTTCTGCATTCAGCACGTTTTTCTGCATTCCTCAGATCGGTGTCAGTTTTCACAAAAACAGGCCCCTCTCGTTTTCAATGGCAGCTCTGGGGGCGGAGCCAGCAGGCCAAGCTGGGCTGGTGTAAACAGCCAAGCACTGCTGGACAGGAGAGCTTATATGTAACAGTATTATTAGTATGTAAATGCACATGTGGTCACTGCGCCCTTTAAAACGCGCGGTTTTTAATTCATCAGTTTGTTTGAAACGCTGCAGAGCAAGCATAAATAAACTAGAGATGATGGTAAACAGCAGACAGAGCTCTCTAACCAGCTCAGTGTGCAGGTCAAGCTCAGTGAAATCCGACTTAATTCTCTCCAACATCCCCCTCTCTGAATCTTGCTTTGTCTCCCCTCCTCCTACCTTCCCTCCTCTCCACTCACCCAGATTAAGCCCGTAGTCCGAGTTGACCTGTTTCCTAAACTTGTCCATCTGTGTGTTAGAGTCCGGGTACCACAACGCCTTGTTGTCCATATCCATAATTTTCTCGCTCTTTCCTTCCGTGTCTTCGGACATCTTCGGTGCGCCCCTTTGACACCTGCTAAACGCTAAAAAAGGAGAAGCCAGGCTGCTCTTGACTTGGAAGTGAGGTGAAGTCCCCGGTAGCTAGCTGCTTGTTTGAATGGCATGCGACTACAAGCGCGAGAGAGGCTGCTAGATAACGTAGTGTCAAACGCAAGCGTGCTGGTGCTGCCCACACCGCGAACAAACCACGCCCCCAACGTCATGACGTCAATGCATATAAAGGACGTTCAAGATCGACAGCGTTCAGGGCTGTTACATAGAACGAGAGTCTAAAAGCAAAGATTTCAAATTATTGAAAAGGGTTTAACAATTCATAAGATGATCGTACAAAATACGACTGTTTAATTTATATGTATGTATAAAAATATGCATATAATATATACAATATATAATATATAAATATGTATTTAAAAAAATATAAATTTAAATTTGTATGCCTATGCCTATTTTATGACTGTCTATTGTTATCCATTGTTGTCATCACTCTTTGTTAAGAAAGCAGGCCTCTCTTGTAAATGAGTCCCCGAGGCTCAATGGGATTAAACTGTCTAAATAAAGGTTGAATGAATGTATGTAAACTGAAAAGAATATGAAAAAAAAATCACTGTAATGCCACTTGATTTTTGATATGTGCCGCTGACTATCCATGCTGCTGATCTCATGCTGCTGTATTCATTCATACCCATTTGCTCACAGACTCATGTTCGTGCTGCTGTTGTTCGGCATATTATTTTTGTTCTATTAGTGTTTAGCGTTCCTTAGTTCATATCTTAGATCTTACTACTGTTTTTCTTTTACTTTTGTTGAATGTAACTGGGACCCTGTGTACACAGTCTCATTCTGCCACATGTACCATGATGCGAATGACAATAAAGAAACCATGACCTTGATGTGTGTGTTTGTATGCATGTATGCATGTATGCATGTATGCATGTATGCATGTATGCATGTATGCATGTATGCATGTATGCATGTATGCATGTATGCATGTATGCATGTATGTTGCGGGTTCAAGCCCAGATTGTGTCAGGAATGGTGTCCGGCATAAACGAAAATTGCCAAATTTTTCATGCGAGTTTGCTTGTTGTGGTGACCCCGGAAAAAGGGAAAAGCCAAAAGAAACTTAGTTATATATTTTTTCAAATTTTTTCGTCTATACTGTACTTCAATTATTATTTAACCAGAATATGTGCAGGGTGTACCCCACTCTCGCACAGTGATAGCTGGACATGGGCACCAGTGACCCCCATGACCCAAATAGGAAGAAGTGGGTAAAAGATGATGGACGGATGTACAAAGTGGTAGTAGCTATTATGATCTGAAAAATGTGTTATAATGACATTATATATCTTTTTCTTCTTCTTTCGGCTGCTCCATTCTTCAGAGGCCACCATAGCAAACTAACTTGCATGAAGACTTGGCAATTGCTTTATGCCAGAGGCCCTTCCTAATGCAACCACAGACCACCGAGCTACCACAGCCCTCTGTGTGGAGCAGGGAGCTGCCATCTAGGGGATGTGGGGGAGCAAATGGTGGGGGTTAAGAGTCTTGCTCAGGGGCCCAGAGTGGGGCAAATGAGGGTGGAGGCGGGTGCAGGTGTTTCACCTTTGTCACCCACATTTTGATGTTGTCGGTCCAGGGAGTCGAGCCGGTGACCTTCCAATCACAGGCCCACCTTCTCTAGCCTCTGCGCCACCACTTCCCCATCCATCCATCCATCCATCCATTCATCCATCCATCCATTATCGTTAACTGCTTCTTCCTTATATATATATATACTTGTGACTTTTTTCAATTTCAAAGCAATGGTAAACAAGTTAATAATTACTGCATGTTAACGCACAAGACAAATGTCATATACTTTTATCAGCTGATGGTGTTTGGGTGAAACATAGACTGTTGTTGGTTTTGTTGTTGTTGTTGTCGTCCAAATTGTCCCAAGACTTTTTTGCTTTTGTTCTTGCTTTATAGAAACTTTTTTCCTTGATTATTACCTACAATATTTATTAATTCAAATGTTAAAGCATTACTTTTTTCGTCTTTTTTTATAGCAATTTTACCATTTTGTTTTTTTTTAAACATCACATATGCAAGAAATTCAGATATTTTGAACGGTGTTCAGATGTTCATTACAACTTGATCCCAGTCGCCTAATTTATTATAAAACATTTCATCTTATGATAATGATTTTCAATGCATGATATTCATTCTTAGATCTGTAAATTTTGACGCATGAACGTTAACCAACGCCAGAGTCTTGAACACTACTCACACGTGAACGCGCATGAGAGCCTAGACAGTCGCGCGCGGGAAACTTCCCTGTCAAAAAGCAGGGCTGTGATTGGTCCTCAGCAAACTGGTTCCACATCAGCCGACTGATCGGTCCACGCGGGAGGGGTTCGGTTCTCGGTTGGACTGGCATCTTGTCTGTTCTATGAAGAACCGGCTTGAGGCTCTTCAAAGGAAAGTTGTCAACCAATCAGAGAGCCGGAACCAGGATGGGCTCAGAGGTGTGTCCAATCAGAAAAAAGCAAAGCACATCCTCCTCATTGCACGGTGGTGCCATCCCAGCTTCGATCAAGTGTCATTTTACTGTTTCGACAAGATCTTATTTGCATTGCATAACTGCAATGGTTTACCTCATGTCAAATGTAAAAGTAGTTGTACTTGTTTATCCAGTTTGCAGCCAATAAGCACAGACACTTTTCTACTTTCTCAATAATGTTCAATCAAACCCTTTATTATTTTTATTTGTGTCCGAAGCAACAAAAGTAAAAATGGTTATTTCTCGTGTTTTTGATCCTTATTTCTGTGATCTCAGGTTTCACTAAGTCCAGAGGTCAACAAGCATATCTCAAATACATAAAAACCTTAATTTTCTCCTTTTGAACACAGACAAGACTGAGGTTTTAGTTTTTGGACCTGAGCACCTCAGGGATGAGTGTTTCAGTCTTTCTCCCTCCTTAGATGGCATTAAGCTGGCCTCCAGACTCCATACTTCTTTAAAAAGTCTTCAGTTAATCCAAAATGCTGCTGCCAGAGTCTTAACTGGAGTTAGTAGGAGAGATCATATCTCTCCAGTTGTAGCTTCTCTCCACTGGCTCCCTGTCAAGTTCAGAATCGAATTCAAAATCCTACTATAAAAGCTCTCAACAACCTAGCTCCATCTTATATTACAGATCTTATTGTTCCATATTTTCCTAACAGAGCACTCTCAGGCTGCAGGTTTACTTGTGGTTCCTAGAATTTACAAAAACAGAATGGGAGGCAGAGCTTTCAGTTATCAGGCTCCTCTCTTGTGGAACCAACTTCACATCTCTGTCCGTGAGGCTGACACATTATCCAGTTTTAAAACTGGGCTTTAGACTTTCCTTTTTGCTAAATCCTATAGTTAGGGTCGGCTTGGGTTTCCTGAGCTGTCCCTTAGTTATGCTGCTATAGGCTTAGACTGCTGGAGGACAAACTGACCACAATTTTTTTTCACTCTGCTGCTGTTTTTACTTACTCTGCTCAACCTGTTTTGTATTTGTAATTATTTTTTCTATCCTAACGTGTTTTTTTGTCTTTCGGTTACATCTGGACCTATACCTGGACCTATACCTGGACCTATACCTGGACCTACCATTCTGTGTTCGTCTGTCTCTCCTTCCTGTCCTCTCAAACCAGCCGGTCAAAGCAGATGGCCGCTTGTCCTGAGCCTGGTTCTGCTGGAGGTTTCTTCCTTCTAAAAGGGAGTTTTTCCTTTCCACTGTTGCCACTGTGCTTGCTCAGGATGGGAGACTGCAATGAAGACAACATTCAACTTGTCTGCTGGATTCCTTAGATCGAGAACTTTAATAATTGGCTTTTATATGTATGTGAATGATCCTGTAAAGTGCCCTGAGACAACTCTGTTGTGATTTGGCGCTATATAAATAAACTGAATTGAATTGAAATTGAATTGAATTAGTCCTCATAAAAAGTGACTTAAAAATCATCTTCACAGATGGGAGATGATATTTGCAATAGAGATTTTTTTTTAACAAAAGGTGATATTAAAAAATATATTTTATTATGAATGTTTAAGTTTTTTTATAGGTTTTTGAAGTTTTCATTTTCTACATTATAGTGAATTCATATTTGTCATATGTTACCATCATAGGTCACAGGTCATGATGATGATCAACCCAGAAAGTGTTGCCAATTTCCTGAAGATTATTTTTTCTCTCTGAATATTTAACTTAGTTTTATTGTGAATAAATTAGGCCAAATAGATGAGTGTTTGATCTGACTGAACAAACCCATATTTCCATGTTTAATCTTTTTTTGTGTAGTAGTTTTTTTTTAAGTTTTTTTACCATCACATGACTGAAACGTGTCTTAATGTCGTCATCTTTCACAGGAGTCATCGCTGATAAAAGCTGCTTATCAGTCCAACAGCAGGCAGGAAGGGATTCTGTCGTAGTTAACTTTACCAAATCATTAACGACTAACAACTTATTTTACATGAGGACTATAGTTCTCATATAATATATATCTCATGTACAAAAAAATCCTAGAAGGATGTTTTTGTAATTGTTATATTTATTGTGTTTAATTATTAATTAACAAGATTTAAAACAAAATCTGTGTGTTTTAACATATGAAAAGATCTTTTTCTCCCCAGAAGTTTTATTATAAGAATATAACACCTGGCCAAACTAAAATAATTATCAACTGTTCATTCCTTTTCCTGGAGGCAACCTGAAAAAAACAAAAAACAAATAGTTGAGTCAGAATGACTGATAACATGTGTTAGTTGACTGTAATAATTATTATAGTTCCATGGTGTTTCTTGATACAGACATAGGTAAATCTTGATAAATTTGAAAATAGAGGTTTAATGAAACAGTAAGTAAACTAAGTATTTTTTTTTATTATTATTTGAGACAGAATAAAATGTTAAAGTGTGTTATAAACCAAGGTACCTCATAAACACTAAACAGAAATCTACAATTACTCTTGGTTTTACTTGTTTCAACAATGATTAACACTCTCAGACCACACTTCATTTCAGTTTCCCCAGCATGAATCCTGCCATCGCTCCACCATCACTTTATATTTTGTTTGTTTAACTCCTTTTTTACTGTAGTGCATGTCTCCGTTGTATTACGGAGGACGGAATGTGATAAAATTAAATAAACATAATAATGAAATGCATCATTTCATTATTAAATGCATCAGTAAATAATTAAATACACAATAAAATGATTAAATACACAATTAAATACACAATACAATGATACATTTCATTATTTATGTATTTACTTTTGTCACATGCCGTCCTCCATACATTTCTACACTTATATAAAGATATACTATAAATCCAGTAGGTGGCAGTATAAAACAAGACAACTGGTACAATGGAGCAGCTAATTGAAGTTAATTTTGAAATATTTTCTAAATTTGCATGAATTTCCTAAAATAAAATGCTTTTTGATTTGCTAAAGATCCACACAATTTACTTATTTTTTCTTTTGTAATTTACCTTCAGATTACTAAATCTCCTAATTACAGCCTACTTACTCCTTACAACCAAGCTGGTTATTTTTTTTGTGTTACATGTTTTAATACCATTTTATTTTCACTTGTTATTCTCAATTTGCACGCATCCTTTAAGATTGTCTATTGTTTTCTTTGTTGTCTACTGTTGTCTGCACTTCGTTAAAACCAGGTCTCTCTTGTAAATGACTCTCCGAGGCTCATGAAATTAATCTGTATAAATAAAGGTTGAATGAATTAGTTTATATACGCAGTTATTTTAATTTGGTTTATTTTTTATTTTATGAGAACATTTGGAGAAATGTTTATGTTTTGCATTGTGTTTTATGTTTATAATAAAGCTGTTTTTATTCAATTCAAATCAATTCAAAAATACTTTATTAATCCCAGAGGGAAATTATATGTTGTTGTAACTCATCATCCTGGTTTCATTAATGAGTTGTTATAGATGCTGATGGCTGTGGGCAGGAAGGATCTCTTGTAGTGGTCTGTCTTACAGCGGATCTGAAGAATCCTCTGACTGAAAACACTCTTGTTGTTGTATGACAGTCTGATGAAGAGGATGCTGAGGGTTGTCTATAATGTTCTTCATTTTATGAAGAATCCTTCTTTGAACAATCATCTCCAAAGGTTCTAGAGGAGTCCCCAGAACTGAGCCAGCCTTCTTTATGAGCTTGTTGATCATTTTTAAGTCACTTGCTCTGGTGCTGCTCCCCCAGCAGATGATGGCAGAAGAGACAGCGCTCTCTACAACAGACTTATAGAAGATATGCAGCATCTTGCTGCAAACATTGAAGGACTTCAGCTTCCTCAAGAAGTACAGTCTGCTCTGTTCCTTCTTGTAGATGCTTCACTGTTGCATTTCCAGTCCAGTCTGTTGTCCAGGTGAACTCCAAGGTATTTATACTTCTCCACCACCTCCACTTCTTCTCCCATGATGGAAATAGGGTTGAACCTGTTCCTGATTCTCCTGAAATCTACAATCATCTCCTTTGTTTTGTTCACATTCAAGATGAGATGATTGTTTCCACACCATGCCACAAAGCGGTCCACCAGTTCCCTGTACTCAGCTTCTTGTCCATCTCTGATACACCCGACCACTGCAGAGTCATCTGAATATTTCTGCAGATGACAGGAATCTGTTTTGTACTGGAAATCTGAGGTGTACAGAATGAAAAGGAATGGTGAGAGTACAGTCCCCTGTGGTGCTCCTGAGCTACTGACCACCTGGTTAGACACACAACCCTTCAGTCTCACAAACTGTGGTCTGTCCGTCTTTGATCCAGGCGATTGTTGAGGCCAATTGTTGAAGCCTCCACCTGAGTCTTCTGGAGTTTCTGACAAAGCAAATCAGGCTGGATTGTGTTAAATGCACTGGAGAAATCAAAGAACATGACTCTCACAGTGCTGTCTGCCTTTTCTAGATGACAGTGAGTTTGCTGAAGCAGGTGTAGGATGGCATCTTCAACTCCAAGTCCACGCTGATAAGCAAACTGCAGTGGGTCCTGATATGTGCTTGTTTGTCTGGTCAGGTGGGTCAGCAGAAGTCTCTCTAGAACCTTCATGATGTGGGATGTCAGGGCAACAGGTCTATAGTCATTGAGGACTGATGGGTGTGATTTCTTTGGCACTGGAACAAGGCAGGATGTTTTCCACAACACTGGAACCTTCTCCTGGGTCAGGCTAAGGTTGAAGAGGCGCTGCAGAACCTCACAGAGCTGCTCTGCACAGACCTTCAGGACTCTGGGACTGACATCATCTGGACCTGCAGCCTTATTCTGGTTCAGTCTCTCCAGCTGCTTCCTCACCTGACTTCTGGAGACGCAGAGGGGGGAGGCAAAGGAGGTATCAGCATCTTCTGATTTGGTTGAAGACCAATACGTAGAAGAAGGGTCCATGACTGAGGTGGTGGATACAGTATTTGAGGTGTGACAGGACAGCCTTGGGTCAATGGAGGGTGGTATGTATGTTTGGCTGTGGGCAAGAGAGGAGGATGCTGAGCTTGTTCCTGAACTGAACCTATTGAAGAATGTGTTCAGTTCATTGGCTCTGTCCAGGCTTCCATCCTTCTGATCCTCTTTCTGCTTGAAGCCTGTGATCTGTTTCATCCCTGACCACACCTCTCTGATATTGTTCTGTTGGAGCTTGCTCTCCAGCTTCTTATTGTACACCTCCTTGCTGTTTCTTATCTTGACTTTTAGTTGCTTCTGTGTACTCCTCAATAATTCCCTGTCTCCCTCCCTGAAGGCTCTTTTTTTCTGGTTTAGCAGTTCCTTCAGTTCAGTGGTGATCCAGGGTTTGTTATTGGGGAAGCATCTCACTGTTCTGGTGGGGATGGTGTTGTTTACACAGAAGTTTATATAGTCGGTCACACACTCAGCCATGGCATTGATGTCCTCTCCATGTGGCTGGCACAGTGCATCCCAGTCTGTAGCCTCAAAACAACCCCGCAGGGCTTCTTCAGCTTCCGTTGACCATTTTCTCACTGTTCTCTTTATTGCAGGTTGCCTCTGAACAAGGGGTTTATATTTTGAGCAGAGAAACACACGATTGTGATCTGATTTGCCAAGAGGGGTCTTGCTTTAGCGATGTATGAATCCTTGACATTTGCATAAAACAAGTCCAACGTTTTGTTTTCTCTGGTAGAGCAGCTGACAAACTGTTCGAATGTCGGAAGTGTAGCAGAGAGAGAGGCATGATTAAAATCCCCAGATATTGCAACAAACGCACTAGGGTGTTGTGTCTGTAGCTTAGCATCCTCGGAGCTGATGACATCACACGCAGTCTCGGCAACAGCATTGGGTTGAATGTAAACAGTTGCCAAAATGACACTGGTGAACTCTCTTGGCAAATAATATGGACGACAACTTAGTGCTAACAGTTCAATATCTGGACTGCAGAGACGACTTCACAGTAACATGTCCAGGATTAAACCATCTGTTGTTCACAAGCACTGCCAACCCACCTCCTTTCCTTTTGCCACTCCTCTTTAAATCTCTATCTGCTTGTATGCTCAGAAAGCCTGGCAAGGAAACGCTGGAGTCGGGGATATGATCCTGTAGCCATGTCTCAGTAAAACACATAACACTGCATTCCCAATACTCTCGATGGGTCCTTGTTAGGGCTTGAAGTTCATCCAACTTGTTTCCCAGCATCTCACATTGCCCATCATGATTGATGGAAGAGAGGGTTTAAACTTCATTCTTCTCTCTTTCTCCCTCTTCTTTGCTCCTGCTCTGCATCCACGACGCCTCCTTTTCAACTCATTTGGGATTTGAGGCTGTAGTTGAGATATTATTTGAGCTTTGGAGATGTTAATCAGCAGCTCCCGGTTGTAAAAAAACAACCTTGTTGTTATGGTTACGCATCATAACATCGTGTTATCTTGTTAACATTATGTCTTGCATGTGATAATAATGTTTCATTTAAGTTGTAACAAATATAAATCAACACCATCCATCCATCATCTTACCCGCTTCTTCCTTTTCGGGTCGCCGGGGTCACTGGTTGTGCCCCATGTCCAGCAGTCATTGTGTGAGAGGTGGGGGGACACCCTGGACAGGTCGCAAGTCCATCACAAGGCCATACATCAGTACAAACTTTATAATATTGTTATATTTTGGGTCACATTTAGTTTTAAAAGTACGACGGAGCTTTAGTGCCATCGGTCCTGACCTTTTTTTAAATATCCTGCGTCACATGACTGAGCAACGTCTGACGTCACACCCTTCCCGGAAGTGAGAGCCGTGACGATGATGGCCTCTTCAGTCTATCTGCTGGAAGAGGATGTTTGCTTTCAATGAAAGAAAAATATCACCTGAATCTACAACTTTATAACAGAGTAGACCACTGTACAGCCTCTTCCGCTGAGCTTACAAGGATTTGGACCGTTCATTCTCTCTCCCTGAGGCGGCCTGAAGGATAAAAATGTCACTCTTCCAGTCTGCACTGGATTTCCTAGCCGGGCCCGGCTCGGTTGGAGCGGCCAGCCGGGACCAGAATGACTTCGTTGGACAGCTTGTTGAGCTCGGAGACATGAAGTTGAGGATCAAAAGGGTGATTGCCGAAGGTGAGATAGTGTTTAAAAAAAATAAATAAAACTATACCTGACGTCATCTCCTGAAAACAGGCATTCTAAATAGCTGAGCAGGCTAAACGACATGCTAGCAGCATCAGTCGCGTTAGCACGAGCAGAGCTGTGTGAGTCACAAAGTAAATATATAATAGTTCAGTTTCTGTCTAATAAAGTTAAATAGATTTTCCAAGTGTGAGCATGTCAACCGGACGTTTTTTTAGATTTCCTGGTACATTTTCACGAGTTGTATGTTGCAGGTGCATGAACGTAGACACCAGTTTACTTAAGGCTGCATAAATTACCTTATCACGGGGGAAAGAAGACAGAAAAGACAGGGACAGAGAGGACAGGGACAGAGAGAAGACATGCCACGGTAATGCAGGTTCAACAAACGAATCCAAACGTTTTGTTTTCATTGTTGTGACATGAAGTAAGACATTAATGCAGAGCTGACATCATCTGTTAGACTTTTATCTGTGAAATGTTTTGTTTTCTCAACTACACTGTATATTCACATTTGTCCTTTCATAAGCAAGTTTTAATTGTCTGCACAGAGGCATTTGTTACAAGACAGGTGCAACTCCATCTGCGTGGTGTGTAGTGGCAAATCAGTTTGACTAAAATAATTAAAACTTAAAGTCTAAAACGTCAAAGTTAATGCTCAATAATCCAGGTTTAAAAAAAATCCAACAAATTTCAGTCAGGTCATCTGGACGGTTTCATTTTTTGTTGAGACGATTTGTCCTTCATCCAAATGACTTCATCAGTCCCAAGGAGCCACAACAAACTCAGTCCCACAAGCAGCACACTCCCACAGTGGGCCAACCAGTTTGCTGGTGATAAGATGGTTTCTGGGGCCCACCCTCTCCCCTGTGGACATTTCGGAGGCAGCCATAGCCAGTGGTTCAAAACATCAAAGTTCATGCTCAATAATCCAGGTACAAATCCAAAAAAGTTCAGTCAGGATCAAGGACGAAATGTCTCAACAAAAAAAGAAACCGTCCAGATGACCTGATTAAAGTCTAAAAGTTGCATTTTTATTCAAGTGTAGTTTCATGCATCTGCTATTCAGCAATGATTTATACTTTGTGGCCAGTTCTTACAATTAACTGGCGCTTTTATGGTGTTGGAGTTCCTGCCAAACTGTATAAATTGGGTCGAATTGGACATTTTGGAGTGTTTGTTTTTATGTACACCTCACAGAGATGAGTTTTCTTGTGAACTGACACAACATAAACTAGTCAAACATTGGGAAAGTTGGCATGTCTTACCACATTCAATGATTTTATCTTACTTGAAAATCAGTTAGTTTAACAGATTATTTGCATCAGTAGAAATGTAAAGCATTGGATTTTTTTCTAAGATAGAGTTATTTAACATCCATCCATCCATTATCTTTACCTGCTTCTTCCTTTTCGTGTCACTGGGGTCACTGGTGCCCATGTCCACCCATAATGTACTTTTTCCTTGTACTTTTTAAAGAACTTTCACTCAATCTCATGTTGTTAAATTATAGTAGAAAATGAAAACGTTGCATCAGTGAATATGTTTATAAAAGCATTTCAACAGGTTTTAAATGACTTTAACTCACTACATGACGTTTTTGTACTTTAGGAATATCAATAAAAGAAAATGCTATCAATTGATGCTGGCATAAGTTAAAACCTGACAGGTAAATTATAGTTTAAACACTCTGTATATATTGTTAGATTGTTTACCAGCAGCCTAGCAGCAGTACTTTGACAGTGCTGTAATTTCACATGCTCACCAGAGGTTAATGGGGATGAACAGATCTTTTGAAACATCTAAGCTGTTGTAAACATGGAAAGAGGAGATTGTTTTACACTAAAACTCGCTGCTTTTCAAACTCCTTTTTGCTGCTTGAAAGGTGTCTTTGTTAGTACCAGTCTTTGTGGGGTGTATAATGAATAGCTGTAACACAATGTTTCAGTTCTTGTTTATTTATTTGTTGTTTCTTTATTTTGCACCAGCATTATCCTTAAAACTGCAAAAATTACCGTTTGTTGAGGTTAAGGTGTGATGAAACCATGACTCTTGTTAAAATGTCTGAAAAAATCGAAACGAAGAAAATAACTTGAAGTTTCAGGTTTACTTATTTTCACAAGACAAAGATCTATTCTCTACTGGCACGAATGTGTGATACCACTGACACTTTGCCCAGTGTAAATCCTTAACCAACCTAATTGATGCACTTGTTTGAGAAATGGCTGCTGGTCTTTATGCCAAGTGATTTAAGTTGAGTGAAGATTTTGTTTAGTGAAAACTTGTACACTTAAAAAAAGTGTTGAAGAGGTTAGAGACGGCGAGCTTGTCGACACCCCGGACCAACAACGTCAAAATGTGGGTGGCATTGGTGAAGCACCCACGCCTGCCTCCACCCTCGTTCGCCCCTCTCTGGGCCCCTGAGCAAGGCTCCTAACCCCCACCCTCTGCTCCCCCGGGTGCCGTAGACAGCAGAGCTCTGCTCCACACAGAGGGCTGTGATTGTGTCAGGAAGGGCGTCCGGCGTAAAAACAATCGCCAAGTCTTCGTGCGAGTTAGTTCACTGTGGCGACCCCTGAAGAAGGGAGCAGCCGAAAGGAGAAAAAAGAAAAACCCCAGACACTAAAATCTCCTGAATGGTGCTGACCCACTTGTTTTTTACAGATGGGTGTACTTTACTATTAGGTTACTGTACTGGTTTCAATACCAAACAAGGTCAGTAAATCGGGACTGGCATAACGAAACCGTCTTATTCATCTTGACAGTCAATAAAATGTTAAAGATAAGAGACTTTAACGTTTTTTTGCAGCACAAAGCAAAGCTGGTATTTGATTCACACATTTTTTTGGTTAAACTCATCAGCTAACGTAAGTCTAGAACTGTGTCTCTGCAACTTCCAAATGAGTCTCAAGAAAATAGATTGCCCTTGCTTTTTGTTGGTGGGTTTATGAATGCAGCATAAACATTTCAGATTTTAGCCACTCCGGTGAAAGTGTGTGTTCAAACGGGATTGAGGATGAGCTGCAGACGAGCATTGCTTAGTGTTGTGTTTTTTGTGCACCTTGAGCCCAAACAACCTGTGTGGCTGCTGAGTAATCAGATAAGACTGTGGTTATGCCCCGTACACTTGAGCATCTGTGAAAAGATGTCAACCAGGAGTTTAGTGCTTTTTGTTGGGAGGTACAAGAACAACTCAATGTCTTGTAAAATGAAATGGCTTTTTTTTCCACCTTAAAGCACATATTTATTCATGCATATTAGTTGTTTATCTCTTTTTTGAGTGGGATTGAGTGCCATTGCTTTTTTTCATCAGGCAAACACAAATTATTTGGATCAGAGTAGCTTAAACAGAAACATAACGGTGGTTTTAGAAAACAGCTGTTTGTTACATGTCCTTGTTGTTTCTTTTCCCCCGAACATAAAAACCACTCAACCACTGAACATAAAAAATGATTACTATTATTTGTTTGAATTAAGTGAGCATGCAGATGGAATGATTAATAAACGATACACATGACATCCTTGTTGTAATCATTCTTTTCTCTCTTTGTCTTTTTTTATTTTATTTATTTATTTTTTTTTGTAGGTGGATTTGCCTTTGTGTATGAAGCCCAAGATATGAGCAGTGGTAAAGACTATGCTCTTAAGGTAAGTTAAGAGTGCTTACCGTATTTTTCGGACTATAGATAACACTTTTTTCATAGTTTTTTCAGTCCTGCAACTTCTAATCAGAAGTGACTTTTTTCCCTATTCATGACGCAATTTTTGAATGTTCATTCATACTGACATGAACCGAAGAGTAAACATTACCATTTGCAGCCACAAGAGGGCCCTCTAGGCTTTTGACAACTATGTTTTTCTTCTACCGATAACACCCCCCCCCCCCACCACCACCACCACCACCACCCACACACACACACAAACATTCACTTAGAGACAAACTTGACACAAGTAAAGTGCCCCCAAAAGTGATGTGGAAGGAGATTGGTGAGTTTACCAGTAACTTGCTTGTCAGACTCGTTGGCTTGTTATGTTAATTAAGCCTATTCAGGATCCCAGGTATGTTCTCTGTGTTATTATTGTTATTTCAGATTAAACGTCTGTTCTTGCACTTTGTGAAATACACGTCTGAATAAATGCGACTTATACTCCGAAGCGACTTATTTTTTCCTCTTCATGAGGCATTTTTTTGACTGATGCGACCTAAACTCCTAAACTTTACTAAACTAAGCTAAATGACCTAAACTCGGACTTATAGTCCGGAAAATATGGTAATTTTAGTCAAATTAATTTTTTTACATGTTTAGTAACTTAAATTTAAGCTGGACCATTCAGTGTTATACACTAATTCAAGTCATTTTGTATGTTAACAGGTGTGGCGTTATTTCTAAGTTAAACACTGAATCAAAACATGCATTTTTTTATTTTATTTATATATATATATATATATATTATTATTATTATTATTATTATTGCAGCCCTGAGATGTGCTAGAGAGACTCATGAGATGAATATTATAATATCAAAAGCCTGCAGCAAAAATTCCAATTCCCTTAGAGAAATCTGCAGATCTGGTTAGACAACGTGTCAGCAAAGCAGCAAAGATCTGAGAGCTTTTATTGAGAAGGTTTCATTGTTTACGATCATCTTTATGTTGCTTTTCATATAGTCTGCAGTAGGATTCATTAAATGCATGTGATATTATAAACAACATGGAACCGTATCTGCTATTCTCCATGTATTGCAAGAAAATTAGTTTTGGATCATATTAACAAATGAACACTCTTTCCATGTGACTGTTTTTTTTGTGTGTTTTTTTTTTTTTTTAACAAATATTGATGTTTTTTTCTCAAAGAGTGGGATCTGCTACAGACCTAATGTGGTCCATGTTATAAAGATGTCTTATGTACATCTAAACTTAAAAAACAAGGCATTGTGTTTAAAGTTTTAAACACTGATTACAACTGATTCTCGTAATCTGTTTGTGTTTCAGAGGCTGCTATCCCACGAGGAGGAGAAGAGCAAAGAAATTATACAGGAAGTCTGCTTTATGGTATCCTTGTATAATTTATGTTTAAACAACTTTTGTGCTTCTTACCAATGTTGTCATGTGAAAAGGCAAGATTAAATCCTTGTCATAGTAAATTATAATTACTTAATTAATGGTTACACAGTGTCAGCATGTGCAAAACAGTACCGTATTTTTCGGCCTATAAGTCGTAGGTTTTTTGCGTAATTTGCATGTCCTGTGACATATACGTTGAAGCGACGTCATTCATTCTGACTGTAAATATTGAACACTACCATTTTCAGCCGTTAGATGGCACTCGAGTAGTGTGGCATGACGTTGCATCATGTAATAGGTAAAAGTGGCTATTAATGGCACAATCGGCTTGCCGTAGGTGCCACCTTCATCTAGCTCACCTGGAGCAAAATCATTTTCATTTCGCTGCGTCGCCCCGGTGAAATGCAGCTAATTTGACCATTGAAGTGCATTTATTAAGTAAAAGTTCAACTGAGACGCATCTTTGCTATAATGTCGATTTTCTTGTTATTTTGTTAAATTGTTAAATTTCTTGTTAAATTTCAAAGAAATGCACAGCGAGTCCTCCCATGCATGTGCCTACTACCGCATATCGGCTTTTGAAATACATCTGATCTGACCGTCAAAGTGCATTTATTAAGGAAAAGTTAGACTGAGACACATCTTTGCTTTAATTTCGAGCAAACAAAAAATTGTTTTTAAGTGTTAATCTTGTTAAATTCTTGTTAAAGTCTTCCCGTGCATGCTCCCGCGGCCGCCATTTGGCAGCCGGTCGATTTTTGGTGCAACACCGGCCCACATTTCCAAAATGTCTGCGGTGACAACAAATGCGACGCGTCAGCGGTGACGCATAATAAATAAGTATTCAGCGAAGCAACGTATTTATGGATTATTCTACTTTATTAGACGTATTTGGACTGATGCGACTTAAAGGGCAATGCAACGTGTACGGCAGAAAATACGGTACTGTATTTTTATAAACAGCAGCATCTGCCAACTGACTGATTTATGAGCTGGCAGATCTGAGACCAGATTTGACATCACGCTTCAGTTTACCCTGCCTGTTCCTTGACCCTTTGGTGCTGTAGAAAAAGCTGTCAGGTCATCCAAATATGGTTCAGTTCAGCTCGGCGGCCTCAATCAGTAAAGACGAGTCCGACACCGGGCAGGCTGAGTACTTGATCCTCACTGAGCTATGTAAAGGTAAAATGCTGACGTGCACATCTACACAGACATTTTTTTATTAACAGAACTGTGGCTTACTCATTCATCAAACGTACGGTAATAGTAGACATTGGAGTGGCTGCTCAGTTTCTCAGGAAGGACACTTGTGATGAAATCTTTGTTTTTGCGGCCCCTTTTATTTCCTGTTCCACTTCCTCTTCTTTTGTTACAATGATTTAGCATTTTATCAGCAGTTTTTTTTACAGCTTCAGATGTACAAATGCTAAATTGTTACAAATTAAACATAACGTATATAATTTCAAATAATTTTTTTCTAAACTTATTCACAATTTGAACTCTACACACAATATAATTCATTAAAAAAACCTCAGTATTCACATATATCTTTCTTAATTCTTAAAATCTGTCAACTTTTCAATTACCATGTTTATTTGTGACTGTTTCACATTAAGTCAGTTTCTAAGAAACCGTTATCATTTACCAGTAGTTGCTTCATAATCCTTTTTGCCCAACGTCTCCTTACTGTGGCCTTTCATTCACTCTTTCCCATGTTTTTCTTCTGCTTCAGGTCAGCTGGTGGACTTTATAAAGCGGGTAGAGCAGAAGGCTCCAATGTCATGTGACACGGTGCTGAAAATTATCTATCAGGCATGTCGCGCTGTGCAGCACATGCACAAACAGAAACCTCCAATCATCCACCGAGACCTCAAGGTTGGTTTGCCCGTCATAGATGGATGAGTAAATTATGTATTAAAGGATTGTGAATGACGAGGAATCGGTTGTATGCAGCTGTACTGATTTAGATCGTCTTTGATGTGTTGCAGATTGAGAACCTCTTGATTAGTAACCAGGGCACCATCAAGCTGTGTGACTTTGGCAGCGCCACCACAGTCTCACATTATCCAGACTACAGCTGGTCTGCACAGAAGAGGTCCATGGTGGAGGATGAGGTACACACGCATGCGCTCAATCATGTTAAAAAGCCTTCTAAAATCATCACAGTGATTATTAGAATACACTGGAGTCACTTTTATTTGTCAGTTTATGTGATAAAGGAAGCTTTTCATTGTTGAACACATGCAATGCACTATTTTTAATCACTGCGTTGCTTTGGGTCATGTGTTAAACGGGTCCAGGTGCTTCTCTGTGGAGAGGGTGTTTACTGTTGTTCATTATAGCGTTCAGTTTATTATTCAGTGTGTCCCTCTCTGCCACGCCTGTGAATGAGTCCAGCCTCCTGCCAAATACCGAGCCAGCGTTTTGCACCAACTTATTTAGTCTCCTGGTATTTTCATCTGTTAGGTTGAAACTTCAACACACAGCAGCATAAATGAGGACGCTGGTCACCACAGTGTGATAAAATGTGTGCAACATCGCTTCGCAGACATAATTTAGAGAAAAAAGCCAAACTCCTTTGTAGGCTAAACCTCATTACATCAGATCCTTCCTCGTTACACAGATGTCATCTACTTCCTATTATGACACTTATGTGTCATTATACTGCTCTTTGAGAATGTTTAATTTCCTAAATATTGTCCTTAAAGTGCCTATTTTTTATATTTTTAATAAATCATTTAAGTAAAATCTGAATATTTTTAATGCCTACAGGCAATTGTTTAATATAAATAACTACTTATTTTACATCCAGTTTTTTATTTGACAAAAACTTCAGCGAGTTTGTGTTTTATAAGAAGTGTTCATGTGTAAAATCAGTTACCGTATTTGACGCCGTGCTCGTCGCTCCGCCCTTTAAGTCGCATCAGTCCAAATATGTCTAATAAAGTGGAAAAATCCATAAATACGTCGCTTCGCCGTATACGTCGCATCTATTATGCGTCACCTCTGATGCGTCGCGTTTGTTGCACGTCACCGCTGACAACCCAGAAATGTGGTCCAAACCTGGAAATGTGGTCCGAACCCGGAAACGTGGGCCAGTGTTGTGCCAAAAATCGATTGGCTGCCAAATGGCGGCCACGGTGGCGTGCACAGGAGGACTTTAACAAGAATTTAACAAGATTAACGCTTAAAAACAATTATTTGCTCGAAATTATAGCAAAGCTGTGTCTCAGTCTAACTTTTCCTTATTAAATGCACTTCAATGGTCAAATTAGCTGCATTTCGCCGGGGCGGCGCAGCGAAATAAAGTTGATTTGACGGTTGCTCCAGGCAGATGACGGTGGCAGGCTTTGGCAAGCCAATTGTGTCATTAATAGCCACTTTTACCTATTATATGACACAACGGCTGAAAGTGGTAGTGTTCAATATTTTCAGTCAGAATGAATGAAAACGGTCATATCTCAGCCAAAAGTTGGTTTATAAATATGAGAAAAAAAATCATAAATAAGTTGCTTCGGCGTACAAGTCGCAGGGCATGCAAATTATTTGAAAAACTGCAATTTATAGGGCAAAAAAAAATACAGTGATCTACAGTTCAGACAAAATAAAAACAAGTTCAGGAAGATTTCATGTAACAAAATGGCATTTTTTTTAATGCATTTTAAATGATTCTTAATGTATTATAAAATCTTAAAAGGAAAAAACAAAACCGTTCATAACTCCCAATAAATCGGTGGCAGTAATGACTTTGGGGTGTTGCATAAAAACCAGAAACCTTTGATTGAATTTACCGGCAGAGTCTCCAGGATGATCAGCGAGGTTAATTATTTTAATATCATAACCACACAGCCACATGCTCCTTTAAAGGAACTTCACCTCAGATGACCTCAGTGTGCAGGACACCAGAGTTTGTAAATCTAATAACGTGCATGTCTGCTTAGCACGTGTTTTCAGGATAATTACACTGAATCAACCCGTCTTTTGAGCTACACTAATGGTAGACATCTGGAAATTAACTAATGTTCTTTACAAGTGTTACAGTGGCTCAGAGAAAATATTTCTGAGATATATTAATTTATTTATAAGGGACTGCCCAGAGGAAAATAATAGTTTAGACTAGATTTTTAACCATGTGAATCCAACTAAAAATCATCTTAATCAGATAACTGTGCATTTTTGTTTCTTGTGTTTCTCTGCAGATCACAAGAAACACCACTCCAGCATACAGAACGCCAGAAATGATTGATTTATACTCCAACTTTCCCATCAACGAGAAACAAGACATCTGGGTCAGGGTTTTGACATTTTCATTCCTTTTGTTTTTCTTTCACCCAATTTTAAGAAAAAGAAAAAACTGTTTGCCTTATCTTTGTTTTTATTGTGCCTGCTCTTTTATTCAGGCCATTGGATGCATCCTCTACTTGTTGTGTTTCAAGCAACATCCTTTTGAGGAGGGAGCTAAACTGCAAATTGTCAATGGGAAATACTCGATCCCTCAGAACGATGGCAAATACACAGTGTTTCATGACCTCATACGTACGTACTACTTGTTTGTTTACAAATTTTCAATGTTTATTTCTTAATTTCAATTAATTTTTTCTTCATACCTTCTATTCTACATTGTCTGTTTCTTCTTAAAATAAAATTATAAACAGTTCTGTGTTTTAACTACATTACTTGCCTTGGCACGGCCCTCATCTCTTCTGTGATTTTTGTCAACGGGGGGGGGGGGGGGGGGGGGTGGCGTTGTGGCGCGCTGCCTTGTTAGAGTGGGATGTTTTTGTGGGGGGGGGGTGGGGAGGGTGCGGGACGGGT